AGAAACCTTCGCCTCAAGGTCCCCCTCAAACAAAATAAAACAAAATCCCACAACCCATTGTGGTGGACTGAATCCTCAGTTCCCGTTATGCTTTTCCCTTTAGAGGATCTTGGCCCTTTTAGGAAGCTAGATACTGGAAGACAGAGTCACCTTTTATGTTCCCTAAATTCGAAGCCACCTGAGCCTTCCCTACATTAGATCTTTCTTGCAGTTACCATCTTCACTCCTGATTAGGAAATGTGTGACGCTAGACAAGAGTGCACATTTCTCTCATGTTTTCTTGTATTTGTGTGCAGAATAGGGAATGAAAAGGCCAGATCCCACTCCTATCATGCTATCTCTAGACTTCTGGGTAGTTTTCACTCTCTAGTGTTAGTCTCCTCAGTTCAGGAAGTGGACTTGCTGGGTGGGAGGCAGAGCAGGCAGCAGCCGCATATTGTAAGCAGAGCAAACCCAGAGCATGTGGTCTTCAGAGACACTTTATTGACATGAACACAGACTTTACTGGAATTGTGGGCCTATGCACAAGTGAGTATACACACACACACACACACACACACTCACACACTCACACTCTTTTACAGACCTAAGATCCTGGGGTCTATTGAAAGCCTAACCTAGTATTTGACAAAGTGTGTTAATGTGAGCAGATGATGAGATTGATGAGCAAGTACCCCAAGGTCCTATTCAGACACATTTGCAGTGACTTGGTGAATTCACAGAACTAAGGCTTTCTCATTTATAAAACAGAAGTGAGAGGAAGGGGTGTGTGTGTGTGTGTGTGTGTGTGTTGTATGTGTGTACCACACTTTGTTTCCCTGTGAAAACTGGAAAAGACTGATGATACAATTGAGATATGTCTAGCTCTTGCCTCTTCCTTCAAAGGTGTCATCACAACCATTTCCCTGTGGTTTGTGCCCAGTATACTCACAGATTCTGAGAAAGGCATCCATCACTATGTTCATAGTTATGTTTTGATATGTAGTGGTAATGTAATGTAGAGAGGGTGGGCTACTGTTTCTTTCCTGTTTTGTTTTGTGTATGTATGTGTGTGCATGCGTGTTTTCTTTTCTTTTTTTTTCTTTTTTTTTTGAGACAGGGTCTCATGTAGCCCAAGTTAGCCTTTCACTTGTGGAGAGGGTGGGCTACTGTTTCTTTCCTGTTTTGTTTTGTGTAAGTATGTGTGTGCATGCGTGTTTTCTTTTCTTTTTTTTTATTTTTTTTTGAGACAGGGTCTCATGTAGCCCAAGTTAGCCTTTCACTTGTTATGTAGCTGAAACTGGCCTTGAGCTTCTGATCCTCCAGCTTCTAAGAGTGCACCACTGGATGTGTGTGTGTGTGTGTGTGTGTGTGTGTGTGTGTGTGTGTGTCTTCATGTTTACAAATGTTTGCATATGGGCCATAACTTGTGTGCATGCACATGTGGAGGCCAGAAGTCAACCTTGGATATCATTCCTCGGGCACTGTCCATCTTGTTTGTTTTGGTTTTGGTTTTGGTTTTGGTTTTTGAGAAAGAATTTCTCACTCGCCTGAAGCTCACCAAGTAAGCTAAGCCAGTAACTTGGTGAGGCCCAAAGACCTTCCTGTTCTTCCTCCCTGGCACAGGGAGTACCAGAGTGTGCCATAATGCCTGGCTGTTTACATGGGTTCTGGAGATTGTGCTTGGGTGCTCCCATTTGTGTGGTGAGCACATTTCCTAGTGAGCCATCTCCTCAGCCTTGTCCCTTTCCTTAACCCCACTGCTGTCTTTCCTGGCACAATCATGCTCTGAAAACTTCCTCTTCTACTAATAATTCTAGTTTGATGTCTAGAGCGATTCCAGAAACTCTAAAGAAAGCTGGCATGTACAGTTATGTGAGGGTGGAGAAACCAAAGAATAATGCTGTCAAATGGACTGAGAGTGAAGCCTGAGATAGGAGCAAGCACTGGGTATTTCCACTCAGGGGTTGTGGTTTGATTCAAGACGTAACTGACAGCGTAAAAGTCATAGAGCAAGATTCTTTCCAGACCAACCAAGTTGAGTAGCTAAGTTCAAAGATGTTAAGTAGCATGAAAGGGAAAAAAAAATCAGACCCAACCTTGTGTGACCTTCAGCAAATGATTGAGGATCAGTCACGGGAAATGCCCAGCACCAAGACAAACGTTGCAATTTCTAAGTGATTATAGCCCTTGAGAACTCTTCTAAGCCCTTTGGTAAGCAATAGCGCACCAGAAAACACTCCAGTGCTGCACACATCTAGTCTGGGATTCTAAGTCAAAATATAAGGAAGACATGGAGGTGGTGAGTTCCATACCTTGTAGGTTATAGCCATGATCTTCCATAAGGAAGCTCAGTTGTGATTCTGGATAAACCACATGTACAAACAAACCAGACAAAAATAGGATGGGATGGACTCCCAAAGCATGTGTCTAGCATTCACCAAGAAGGCAAGGGTAAAGAAGCCAGCCAAGCAGTAGGAAGCATAGAGGACAGTGGAGAGAAGAAAGGGCTGGACAGGAGGGAGAAGATGAGAGGAGGGTGAAGGAAAAAGCAGCGATGGTATCATTGGGAAGTGAAGTGAGACTTTGGGAGAGGGGAGACTAGGACTCAAACTCTCAGAGTACAGCAGGCTAGGCAACCTGATGACTTAGTAAACCTACATGATGTCAGAGGACCTCAGGTTCTTCATGGTAGCACTAAGCATCAACAGTGTTCATATCGCTGGAGCAGTTGTGGAGGAGAGAGAAAATAATCAGCCAAATGCTTTTCAAGCCCTATAGGTGTAAGGAAGGTACCAAGGATAGGAAGAATTTCGTTTTTAGAAAACGGAAGAGGGAAGAGAAACTGTCTTGTGAGAGACGCATGATTGGTGTCATTCAGCTTCATTATAAATCCTGATGTCTATGGTGGAATTCTGTTTAGGAAGAAAGGAATAAAGAGGAAAGGCAGTCACACACACACCACCTCGTCACTAGTTAGATGCCTGGTTGAGTAGACAGTAGGATCGAAGAAGTATCTTGCTACCACCACAAGGTCTGGACTAACTAGCCATGGTTGGGTAAATGCTGTGTTAATTCAAGTCTATTTCCCTATGTAAAATAATATATATATATATATATATATATATATATATATATATATATATATAAAACACGTGGAAAATTAACTAGTGAGAAGAAGGGTCTTCAATTTATTGCAAATGTTTTCTCCAACAAAATCAGATGCTTTTCATATATGTTGAGGGTCTTGTTTCAAGTATGCCCCAGTGATGGAAGGGGTGAGAAAAAGCGAGTCATACAAATCCCCCGTGGGAGTGGAGAATGGTCTTTCCTACAGATCTCCCTAGATCTGAGGGACATTTCTCTTATTGAATCCCACTTCCATCTTTTATATCCCATAAGGCCTCCTGCCCTCGATATCTGTAGGGGCTAAAGAATATTGCACTTAGAACAGTCATTACAATGAGTTAATGAGATGTTGACTAAGATCTTCTGAGAGGGAGGGGGTGGTACGCAAACACCAAATTCCAAACATTACAGATGTACAGTCGAGGTATTTAGAAGCTACACAGCCATCTTTGTCACTTTGTTCATCATCCATCGCAGGCTCAGACATTTTTGTTTGTACAGATATCACCCTCGGGTGCTGTGTCTTCTGGAACATGCTTCGGATTCATAAATCTTTGTGTGAAATTCTGCAGGCCCTCTGGATTTTCTTGCCTGCTTTCCAGTTCCCTGAATCTATCACAGTTAGCTTCTGCTGGGCAAGTGGCATGACTATAGCCAAGCTGAATGTCAGAGCTTTCAAAAATATCTTTCACTTCAGGGAATGTGAAATATCATGCCTAGTCCACTTTAATCCCCTAAATGTCCCCTTCATCCCCGTGTGAGTCTCAGCTGCCTCCTGTAAAATGAGGAATAATACTGATCCACGGACACTGAGAAAAGAACAACTGAGCAATTTTAGTCCAGAAAGGACATACATCTTTGTTTCCAATACCAGGAGTATGTTGTATCACTTTCAAGATCCCATGAAATTGCTCTGGATCCTTCCTTGACTCTTGGAAGTCTTGGGTTTGCTGCAAGCCTTTGGGATTATGGAGATCTAGCCCTGAAACACTAAGCTCCAGAGCGTATTCCAGGCCAAATGGAAGATGTTCCTGGATACCCTGGAGGGGCATTGCTGATTTCTGGTGCTGAGAAGCAGGGCATGGGCTTAGGAAAGGAAAAACTGACTTCAGTGAGTCTAAGTGCATGGCATGCTTTGACTTTAGCCCAAACGAACCAGTGCTTCCTTCAGGTATACATCCATTCTTTTTGTAGCAGTGGAGAACGACTCAATTGCAGACAGGGCAGAGGGAACACAACTCTCCAGTACTTATGTAAAGTCATTTGGAGCATAAGGGACAACTTTAGTTGAGTTAGGAGCTACTTGCTTGAAAGCAAGGACAAAGTGAGGTGTAGTCCGTGTAGCGATGTTGGCTCTTCAGTTCAGGTAAGCTGTGTAGAGTTCCAATAGAGCTCAGAAATCAGGTAAAATCTCACAGTTGGGCGGGTGGTTGATGAATAGAAAGATGGATGCACTGGGACTTCTGGGGCACTTTGCTGAAGCTGCTGACATCACTGAACTGGGAATATCCGAGTCCCTCAGTGCTCAGATCACCTACCAGCAACAGAAGAACTCACTGAGAAAGAAAGTCCAGCCCAGCCCTCCCTGAATATATTTGGACCAAAGAGGGAATGAGAGAATTATTATGCCTTTGTTACCATGAACAAGGGGATTGGGTCCTCCAACATTCAGGGCAAAGTAAATTCAGCTTCTGAAGAATTTGACATAATGGAGGACATTGTGACTTGACCATTAACTTAAAGTACCCAGGGGGTGGGACTGCTATGCAGAGTAGAAAAGACCGAATTGAATGTCACTTCAATTGTAGATGCCAAATGACATTTGTATGGCATGCCATCCACACCCACCTTACCCTTCCTAAACACTGTACATCACCTCAAGTCACACCACACTATTCCTCCACAGGTACCACAGAGTTCTCCTTGTTCTCTGAAGGGATAGCAAGGTAGTCAGACCTGCAGAGGGCATGGGAGGGGAAAAGAGGCAGTGCTTTAGTAGTCATTGGTGACCGTGTAGGAAGCAGTAAGGCACATGACCCAGGGACAAGGCTGTGTACAGAAGAGCTCTGTGTTTCCTTATGGGTAGGCCTTCCCAAGACAAATCTACAATTTGCCTCTCAGCAGATATAGCAATGGCCCCTCCCATATTTGCTTATGAACACCTCCACCAACAGTGCAGGCATCACTTATCATCATTCTTATCACCTTCAGGATAGAGATTGAAATTTTGGCTAAACCAAATGGCTATGAATTTGTGTGTTTCATGGTTGCTTTAATTTTCATCTGCCCAGTTACTGGTGAAGTTGAGCATCTCCATATATTTGCAAGCTGTCTTGTTTTCTACTTTGATAATTTCATTTTTTCTTCTGAAATAAATTTAAGTTCTTTTATTGTTTCATGTTTGGAAAATTTGTCCCAATCTGTTGTTAATAAGTTTTCCTATAACTTCTTACCATGAACAATTTATGTTTTATATATAATATAGTGAAAATTATTTTTCCCCATCTTTGATTTGTACTTTGGGTATTTTATTGAAGAATTTTCTCTGTATAACTTCTTACCATGAACAATTTAGGTTTTATATATAATGTAGTGAAAATTATTTTTCCCATCTTTGATTTGTACTTTGGGTATTTTATTGAAGAATTTTCTCTGTAAAATATGATGCTTTAAATATAAATTCTTATTCAATTACAAAAAAGAATTTTCTGTGTTTATATGTAATATTTTTTCTACTCCATTAGTACAATTCCCAAGTTTTACATTCTACTTTTAAAAATGACCCCCAATTTATTTTGGCTTGTAGAGAGATGGATAATAGTATAAACTTGTCTTTGCTAGCTTCCCACTCAACCTTAGCCAAAAGGCAGAGAAGCAATTGTCTTATACCTTTATAAGCAATCTTTATAGCTTCTAAGACAAATCCTACCACTACCATCTTCCAGACATACTGTTATTGCTTTGAACTGACTTAGGTCAGTGGTGGGCAGACTTCTGGCTCACAAGTATAGTTACCTGTTTAAAGTGTTGTAAACAGAAAAACCCAGAGGAATATTGTAACCAGAGTTCCCTGTGGCTTTGCAAAACCTAAAATAGCCAAGCTGTGCTTTGGATTAAGGTATTGTTGGCACTTTTCCCTCCTGTGTGACCTTTAAAATGAATTTATCAGACTCCCTGAGAAATCCAATAGAGGTTTTTATTGGAATTTCATTGACTTTGAAGATTATTTTGGGCAAGAACTGCCTTGGAGAGTGAGGTTTCATTCTCTATCCTTTTGCTTTTTCTCGTGTTTTTCAAAGGTTCTATAATTTTCTCCTTAGAGGTCTTTCATGTTTTTTGTTGTATTTATTCCTAACATTTGTTACTATTTCAATTAAAAGGTTTTTTTTAAAAAGATCTTTTTATGTGCAATGGATGTTTTGCCTGCATGTATGTATGTGTACCATGTGTGTTCTTGGTGCACATGGAGGTCAGAAAAGGGTGTTGGATCCCCAGGAACTGAGATGACCGACAGTTGTGAGCCACTGTGTAGGTGCCAGGGATTGAACCTGGGTCCTCTGCAAGAACAGCAAGTGCTCTCACCTGCTAAACTATCTCCTCAGCCCTTATTGCAATTAATTATTTTTTCCTAATTTAAGGATTTAAATGTGTTTCTACATTGGTTGCTTCTACATCTGATTCTTACTTTGCTGTCCCTCAGAGACATATTTTGAGAAATTTCCTATGAGGTGATCTTGTCCTTGTATGGACATTATAAAGTATAAGCACACAAACTAAGCTGTCAGTAGGTGATGTGATTTTATGGGACCACTGTGGCACACGTGGTCAGTGATTGAATGAACACTATATGATACATGAATGAAGTTGGATTTATATCGGCAACCTTATAGAATATTCTTAACCAGGTTGCTTAAGGAAATTTTGTGTAGACAATGGTACTTTGGGTGTAAGGAATGGTAATATATTTTCCTTCTTTGTGAATCTTATCCCACTTTTCTTTTATTTTTGTGATGGTTAGCGTTAATTTTCAGTTCAATGCCTAGGAGGCAAGTCTCTGGGTACACATTCGAGAGATGGAGTAGATTAAGGTTCGCCTCTAAAAATATGAAGGGTTGTTTTGATTACATTAATCAACAGAACATCCCATCTTAACTGTGGGTGGTGGCATCCCCTAGGCAGGGATCCTAGGGAAGGAACAGAACTGAGCATTATCATTCATAGATTCACTGCTGTCTGTCCTTGACTGCGGATGTAATGGGTTTAACGTGACCTGTCCTCTCAGGTTCTCCCCCCCCCCCATGACTTGCCTGGACTGTAACCTGAACTGTGAGCCAAATAAACCCTTGTACTCATTTTGTACTCCTTTTGTCAGAGTATTTTATCACAGCAACAGGAAAAGAAACTAAGCACATTCCTTAGTATTTTACCCAAGGTTTCAAATATACTATTAAACAGGAACAAGGAGAGAGAGAGAGCATCCTTGTCATACCGCTGATATTCTAAGTATTTCTTCTAAGGTTTCACCTCAGATGATACTGATGTAGATAGAGTACCTGAGTAGCCCCCGTTGTATCTATTTAAAGAAAGTTTGTGTATAGGTATAGATTCATGCATTCACCCTACTCAGGACATAAGAAGATCCTTAACTTAGAGGGTCATGTCCTGATAAATGATGGCAATGCATTTAACACACCTACCTTACCTACAATCATAGCTTACTTAGCAACAGTGTGTCTCCCTGCTGACTGGAGGTTGAAGTGATGCTCAGCATCTGGAGGGAGCAAACTATATTGCTAGTCTGAGAAGACATCAGAATCCAACCTCTGAAGTAATATCTTCTGAACATATATTGCTTTCACACCGCTATAAAGTAAAGTACTCTTAGGATGAGTCATAGTAAGTAGAGGACTACAAACATTATGTTTCAGGTTAGGGAAGTCTTTTCTTTCTGGCCTCCCTATCTCTGAGTACATATAATTCTCCTGCATTTGCTCCCTTCTCTAATGGATATTCTATATTTGAGCCACATTCTGTGTAGCTTTTTCAAATTTATCTTCTGGTCACCAGTATATAATTTTCTGTTGAACTAATACATTGAGTAGTTTGTTACCTTTTTTTCTCCCCAGAAAAGTATTTTTTGTTTTGTTTTATTTTCTGTCAACTCTGTTTGATTATTCTAGCAAATTATTTTCTCTTTGGCTTTGTGTTCTTTAATTTTTTTTTTTGCAGTAAGTATTTTATTTTGTTCATTTTTTTTTTGTGTGGTTCTGGGAACTGAACCCAGGGCCTCTTACAGTTGAGCCATAAGCTTTCCTCCTAAGCCTCACCCTGTTCTAATTATTTTAAATGAGCTTTTTTTCTATATTTTACTTTTGGGTCTCTTGGGAGTTAATGCCACTGTCTATATTATCTCTTGCTCAACTGGATTCTGGTTGTACTGGAGGTTCTTAGTTCCTACTCTGTTTCTTGTGTAAGCCCAGCAGGGGGTACATCATGTCTAAGCCTCAGTATCCCCTATTCAACCATGAGTACTTTCTTCAGCGAACTTTAGGTTGGGATGAGACAACAAAATGAAATCTAGGCCCACTTAGCCTAGGTCCTCTTGTGAGGCCTTGGCTGAGAGTGGGCCCCTTTGGAATGTTTTTTCCCCCTTTTATTTCTTTAGCTATGGATCTACTTTCTCGTTTTAAGTTTCCTCGATCATGTGGATAGTATCTATTTAAATCCCAAATACTGTGACAGCAAGCTTGTCATTACGTATTTCCAAGAATCTTTTCTGGTTCTTCTTGGAGTTAGACCAGCATAGATAAATTCCTTGGATTTTCTCAAAGCTGGCTGTCATCTGGTCTACCCTGTGTAGTCCCCTGGAGATTCTGGCTGTACTGGAGGTTCTTAGTTCCTACTCTGTTTCTTGTGTAAGCCCAGCAGGGGGTATATCATGTCTAAGCCTCAGTATCCCCTATTCAACCATGAGTACTGCCTTTACACATAGTTGGTTATAATTTTTATTTCTCTCAGATTATGGGTATCAGAAATGAATTAATTTAAATTTTATCAAAAATTTCTAAGCTATAATGGCCTAGGAATTTTAGGTACTGTCTCTTCAGTGTCACTGGATGTCTGTGGACTTTTTTTTTTTTTACATACCTCCATTTTCTTTTCCCAAACAACAGGCCAATAGGGTTTCTTAGCCTCTTTGTCCTTAAAGACTCCAGCACTTCTCACATCTCTTGAGTGGTGTGTCTTTGGTGAAAGTGGGGGAAAGTAGAGGCCAGAAGCTAGGGAATTAGATCCCCTGCTTGAGGTATTCCATTGCTACCAACTCTTAAAGGAAAGAGCATGCTTTGTGGCACTCCTTAGCTAATAAAGGACAATCCCCAGGGGAGTTGGCATGCTCCAGAATGCATAGAGAGAACAGCTCAGTGTGACACAAAGAGCACAGATATTAAGTGTAGAAGACCTGGGTTCAATTCCCAGCTTCTGCATTCACCTCGGCCATGTGCTTCTGTGAGACAGCTTCCACTCAATATTTACAAACTGGCTATGCTAATATACAACCTTAAGACGCTGCTTTGGCAGCTGCTTGTTT